AGCACCTGCCCCCCCCAAACAACAACAACAACAACAACAACCACCACAACCCTCCGTTCGACCCTCACCACCACAACATGAACGTGATGGACCTGCCCATGCACTACGGCCCGCCGCACCGCTACTACAGACGCTTCTAACGGGACGCGTGCAGCGCCGCCGCTCCATCCTCACGTGTTCGTTCACTACACGTCTTCATTAAACGGTTTGGGAGGGGCGAGCTTTCTTCTGTGTGCATTACCTTTCTCCTTTCAGTCTCCATCTGTTTCCATGTCAGCCACTCAGCAGCCGATAAACACATGAAATGCGTTTGTAGAGAAACACATCTGGACACTTTGCCTTCTCCTGCTGAACTCGGGGCTTCAGCGACGCGGCGGATCTCCACGTTAGGACCCTTTTTCACACCCTGTTTGTACTGAGGTTGAACTGATGGACGGCTGCGGATCTTGAGACGATTTATTTCCAGTTTATACAGATATTTTTGAGTACATAATAAAAACAAAACGATTGTTAGCATTCCTTTCTGTATTTTTTCTGTAACATGTTTGAGAGGACAGTTTCAATAAAAAAAGTTTTAATCAGATTAAGTTTTCGCTTCACGTCGCCTCAAAATTCTGCTTCGTGCAAACCTCGGCTGGGCAGGAAGGAGGACATGTTCCTCTGCCGGTCCGGCCCCCTCCCTCGTCTCAGGCAGGAAAAGGGGCTGAGTCATGATAACGGAGCCCCGGGCCTCGCACCAATCCCATGACAGAGGGGCTGCCTTCCACCAATGGAGGCGTCGCGACAGCTGGGCTTTGTGATGTTACTGAGAGAGGAGACTTCTTTGTTCAGCCGAGTGTGCTGCGAGTGTGACAAATCACTTGGCTGCACACACACACACACACACACACACACACACACACACACACACACTCTGAGCCTGTTGTTTCTGCACACAGAGGCTGTAAAGCAGCGCAGCAAACCTCCGCTTTAGCCCCGGGGGTCCTAATGGTTTTAGTCATGGCTGGGATGAGACAGACTGGGGTTTTTTTCTGTGAGATCCAAAGTTAGACTTTAATCAGATTCAGCATCTTGTAAGACCAGCCAAGCTGTCATTAACATAATCATCTATTTAAAATAGATGTGGGAGCAGCAGGGGCTTCCCCAGAGAGCAGCAGCACATCAATAGTGGAGTTATTTATGTGCAGACGTGACGTTTTGGGACTGAAATGAAATTAATGATGGTGTCTTTGAGCCATTTTCAGGACTCTGAACTTTGTCTTAATGATTCTAAAGGGATGAAAACGAGCTTTCGGACCAGAGAAATCCTCGAGTCGTGATTATTCTCCATGGCGGACGAGCACATGGACAGCTGCAGATACCACAGACGTTATTATGCTGCCTTCCTCGTCCACTTGGGGGAATGTGCTCCATACATGCGCAGTAGCTTGTGTCTGCTGCTCTGCCACAAGGCCAGCATCCCAAACTGCAGACGTTTTCCTTCAGTATAAACTCCTCTTGCCTCTACGAAGCTTGTCCGGCTGCATCCGGTTTGCTTCCAACTAGGACACACTGCTTGCTCATAATGTTGCGCCTTTAACATCTGCAGTGTCAGGTCACCTGTCTGAGCGCTCTGTTTAAGACTTCATGGCAACAGCTGTTGAGACATTTCACTTAAAAATCACAAAGACAAGCTTCACGGTGCCAGAGGACGAGTCAGAGGTTCGATTTATGCTTTCTGTAGCAACGGATGTACATTTTACTGTTTACACAAGTCGGCATCCAACAACTGGATGTTCTCTAGAACAGAACGATCGAAATGAAAACAGCATGACTGGTTTTTAAACTTCATGCTTTTAGTTTCT